AAAAAAAAATGTCAGCCACTTACCCAGTAGTAGGTTCGACGGCTGGATGTAATTCGTCGACCTTTTTCATCGCGCGCCGTCGACCATCGGCTCGTCGTGGTTTCTCCGGTGGTGGCGGAGGTGGAGGTGCCGGTGGCACCTTACCATTTTGGACAACTTCAGGCATATCACTATTCAGATAAGCGACGAGGCGGCTATTTTCTTGTTGTTGTTGGTGGTGATAGGGAATAGATGGAAGAAATGGCTGCACTGTTGCGAACTTCAATATTTCTGGCACGATAGTTGAACTATCATGCCGTGTAACGCCTAGAGTCACACATTCAACTGCAGTAAGGTAGGATAGGGGACGATGATGAGAAGAATGTGAGGACAGGAAGGCAGCACAAGGAGAGCGCACAGCACACTCGGCCGAACTGGACTCACGAGGAGAAGAGGATGAACGCGAATAGCACTTGCCGATACTTTATCAGAATTTAGCCGATTTTAATGATATAATTGACAAACAATTCGGACTATGATTAGGGATAAACTTATCCCAAATCAGAGCAGCAGCGACGAGGGTTGCCCTGACGAGAAGAGGAGAATGTAAGTTGGTCGCGAGATAGCAGTTGACTGGGCGCCAGCCCGCCCTCTGCCTCTCTGCCCGCAGAACGTGTCTCGCGCACTCCTCGTCCTCGCACGTCTCTCTATACAACTCTGCTGTCTACGCTCTCGTCAGCTAGATCAATGCGGCTTTTTTTCTAGTCGTAGCCCACATTTCCATGATTGGCCCGAGCCGTTTGGGGCTGGTATCAGGATAAACCTGGCTGATACACCACCCCGATCCTCATAGCAAATTCCCGTTTTTCTGGGAAAAAATTCCTCCTAAAACACGTACCACTTCAAATTCCCAGGGATTTCCTCAGTTCCTTTGAAAATCCTTATTTCGATCTAGAATCGACAATATTAGCACAATCACTCATCACCCTGAACTCGCTCAGTTTCCCGGCGACTGTGTCCATGTTTTTTGAAGGACGCGCGACGAGTGCGCTGTGCTGTGCTCACGTCATCAATGGCGCGCGTTTTTCACCAAGCGCCAGCTCTTAGCGCTCGGCCGCAAGGCGCCACCGAGCTGCTGCTGTCCACTTCATCATCAACGGAGAGTTTTTCACCACCACGACGAGGCGTGTATTTGCAAGAGATCATTTCGCTTTTGTAAAGAGGCTACTTTCGTATCGTTATTCGTCTTAAGGTGTTCCAAGTACTCTTCGCTAGAGAACTTCAGTTACGGCAGCGGTAACAACTTCCATTAGAAAAAACTAGTTCTTTTGCTCTCCTCTTTTGAGTTCGGTAATCTTTACTAATCTCAGGTGGCTGTGCTTTTTGGATCCATCTTAGTTCTCGAAAATTACACAGAACCCGAGAGAAGCTAGGAAAATCGAAGCAAAGTTCGACTTGGCGGAATTTTCCAGTCAGATTTGCTCTGCTTTTTTTGCTCAGAAGAATTATTGCTCAATGCTATTTTTGCTCAGCCGCAACTTTTGAGTTATAATTTATTCTTGCTCTTATGCACAATGTGGAAAGGAATCTTCCTCTTTCTACGCAGAATTTTCGGTCGCTTTTAACGATAGCGGAGCGAATGTTTCTTTTTCGTTTTTTTTTCAGAAAGTCAACTTTTATACAACAAAAGTGTGAAGAAGAAATGACC